AAATGTTCATGCTCTGGCTTTGCGCGTGTTCTTCTTCTGCCGAGGCCACCCGCGCGGAGGCGGAGCAGGAGGAAGCCCAGTGACGAAGCTGTCACCAGAAGAAGGTGGCGCACTGGGGCGGCGCGCAGGTGCCACGTGGCGACTGCAGGCGTTCCCAGAGGAACCCGCTGGGTCACTTTGAAAATAAGTGTCAAAAAAACCCTAAACCTCGCCAGTCTCCTTGCTAACCCCGAAGTTAGCTGCCTGTTTGAAACTCCTCTTTTTACCACAAGAGCAGCGTTCTCCTTGTACTGCTCTTCAGCCCAACTTTTTGCTTACTGTCCCATACAAGCCTAGCCCAACTGAAATCTTAAATGAAATAGGCTATTTCCTCCCTGCCACCTTTTAATGCCTCCTTTTCTCTCTGATTTTCTTAGCTGTGTGAGTGTTTTTAGCATTGAGAAGGACAGCAGTGTGCAGATGACTGCTGTGCACCCTTGGGTCTCCTGAGCTATACCCAGGAGCAAGGGGACAGGGAAGACTGCAGCAAAGTACACGAATACTCCCCAACCTCAAGCTTCCCTCACTAGCAGTGCAAAGTGTTTCAGCTGGGCAACCCCAGCCTTGAGCGGAGCTTGGCCACCCTGCGGGGTCCTGAGGCGACAGGAGCTGACGCGCTCAGGTGCTGCACAAAGACTCTTTGCAGAGGCGTCAGGCAACGTCACCTGCAGGCGCTTGAGGAGAGAGTTTTGCTTTGAACGTTAAAAGTAGCACAAAAAAATAAAGAAAAATGAAAAGTTGTATCCTGGAGGCCACAGGACAGCCTATTCTTGACACATTCTCACCCACCACAGTAAACATCAGTCGCGGTGGGGAACTTTTGAGTCCTTGCTGCACAAACACTCAATCAAGCTCCTCAACATTTCCAAAACCGAGTCTCAGTTGATCATGGGGAAACTGTACGTGTCCCCTGTTAGGTTTTTGTAGAACTGAGCACCGAGACCTTCCCGTCCTGACTGTCTAGGTACTGCTATAATGCGTGTTGCAAAGATAACGTGCTAATCTAAATAATTTACACAGAGTCCTTATCCTGTATAAACAGAGAGCACAGAATTACAAGCTGCTACACAATTTAATGGCATGTGATAACATCTACTATAATGCTGAGAAGTAGTGATTGCTTAATTAGAGGCTGCCTAAAGGTTTGTGATAAGTGTGTGTGCGTCATTTTGATTTTTCTTCTTCTTGACTCGAACTGTTTATCTTTGAACCTGAAAATTCTCTTGACCACTTGCAAATGTTTCGAACGGAAAAAGATAAGCATTTTGCATTTTTACAAGCGGAACTTTAGAAATTATGGACGCATCTATTAATTAAGCCTTATATATTCTTAGGAAATAGAGGTAATATGCTCTATAATTGTGTTAGGAAATAGGCCCCGAGAGGTTAAATAAATTTCACAAGGTCACTGATGGAGGTAGAGGCAGTCAGAAATGGAGTTACAGCTCCAGAGTTACTGACTCCCTCATGGTACACTTAAATCATACCCGTTACTCAAGAATTTGCATGGCTAACAAGCTAGTTACATTTAAAATATCTTTCTTCCTGTCCCATTGACTCCCCTAAGACAATGAAGCAGTAAAACATTATTAGAGGGGCACCATGCACTGAATAAATTAGTGAAAGCTGCAGTGAGAGATAAAGCTGAGATTCCTAAGAAGTAAATCCAGCCACTATAACAGCAAATAAATGAAGCAATGTAGGTGTTTCTAAAGGAGGCAGAGAGATAAGGAGATCAAGAGGACCACAAGGCTGGAATGGACAACATCAAAGGTTAAGTGAGGAAGCTGAACTTTTAAGGGCTAGTGCCAAATAAAACCCTGTGGTGTCAATACCCTCCAAGACAACAGCAAGGTGCTTATTCATGAGTGCACCAAAATAATGAACTACATCGTGTGATAGCTACGCTCTCCAGTTTTGGAGTTACAGGAGAAACACAGAGGTAAAGGTCTGAAAGGATCCTTAAAAGGTCATGCATAAAAATGTACCTCATTTTTTTGTAGCAAATTAAACTGATAAACACTGAGTGGATGTGGAACATACCAGATCACTGATCCACTTTGCAACCTATTTTTAATGGGGAAAAGTACTACCATGCCCCTTAGCCTTCTTGGATTTAGACTAATTAAATCCAAGTCTGCCAATTCTTTTCTAAAACTCATGTTTACTTAACATTTTTATAATGCCATTGCTCCCTTGTCTGGATTTTGTCTCTTTTTTTTTTTTCTGTATCTTTCTTAAAGATTGGTGCCTGAAGCTGCAGATATTATTCAAGACGAGGCATTAGCTGAAAACCAGACTAATCATCCTGTAGTGTGCTGCCTGTTTCTTGTATAGTAATGCCAGCTCCCACAAAAACACAAATATATTGAATTAGTTGCTGTCAGCTCATGGCTCAGTACAGCCACAGCTTCACCACAAGGGCTTAAAACTTTGCATCAGGCCTCCTGGAATCCAGGTGTTGGCTATAAGAGCTAAAAATATATTCATTGGAACAAGAAATGAAAACTTTTAGGCAAGAATGTTAAAACAGAGGTGGGAATTAATTCTCATCCTTCGGCCATGGGAAAGAAGTCCAAGCACAAATTAGGAAAGTTGACAATGAGTCTTTGCTTAGGGACTGATGCTTGCTAGGACAGTACACAGCATCAGCAGATGTGGGCAAGGTCCCACAGCACTATCAGAATATACTGTTTATTCCCTGCCTTATTTTTAAAGTGTTTCTCCACTGATAACATTCTCAAAAGTCTCTGCTGGGAAGAAGTTCTTTTACGGAGCAATAATGCTTAATTCTAAAGGACATAAGACGTCTGAAGACACCTTATAATCTCACATGAAGTATATCACTGGTCATAAATGCAGATGCTAAAATAGCATTTTAACAATGGCTTTTGTTGCGTGCCCAGCACGATCCCTTG